GCCCCCGCCGCCCCGGGCCGCCGCCAGCACGGCCGCCGCCACCGCCTCCTCAGCCACCGGACTCTCCGCCATCCTCGCCAACAGTCCCGGCGACGCTTCCGGGACCTCCGACACTAACGACTGGGGCGGGCAGAGCGGAACTCGCGGGGACGCTCACGCTCTCTGCGCCGCCCAACAGGCAGCCGCGCAGCCAGGCAGGCGCACGCACGGGCGCGCGCCCGGCCATAGAGACGTGAAGGCTCAGAGCGTCGCCGGCGGGAGGGGGGGGAGTGCGGCCAGCCGGGCGGCGGCACAGCGACGTCGTTGGGTCAAAGAGGGAAAGTAAAGCGGGAGGGCGCAAAACAACGTACGAAAACAAAACCCAGGTCGAATCCGGGGATACCTGGTGGTGGAAAGTGCTCTCAAGTTATACTTGACTTATAGAGACCCTGTAGGGTTTTCAAGGCAAGGGACGTTCAGGCCATTTGCTGCCTCTGCGTCTTGACCCTGGTATTCCTTGGAGGTTTCCAATCCAAATACTAGCCAGGGCTAGCCCACCTTAGCTTCCGAGATCTGAGCAGATCAGGCTAGGCTGGGTCATTCAGGTTGTTGCCATGGCAGAGAGGAGGCTGTTTAAACCTAGCAGCTGGTTGGAGGGGAGTAGGGGTTTTTTTATTATTATTATTTTTTGCCAGGTCTCTCCTGTTCACCGCGGGAGATGCAGCGGTAGGCTTGCCAGATTCAGGCTGGGAAACTCAGGATATACTAAAAGGAAGGACAGGATTGCCCATTGGAAACAATGGGAGAGACTTGAAGGCCTATTGGAAATAATGGGAGCCATGAATGACAACTAACTTGCAAATTGACTTGCATGGGCTTCATTGAAATACATTACAGCTCAAGAAGAGTTGCACAAAAAATGTGGAATGGAATTTCCATTAAGGTCGCTGGTCCCAAATACACTGGACTTGGACTGGAATGACAGCCCCTCGGGGTAGCAGATGTCTTCTGAGGGTAGAATGACAGGACCCACAGTGGAATGACAGCCCCTGGAGGTAGCAGATGGGTTATGAGGGTGAAATGACAAGCCCCAGAGTGGAATGAAAGCCCCTAGGAGTAGCAGAAGTGTTCTGGGACTGGAATGACAGGCCCCACAGATGAATGAAAGCCCCTGGGGGTAGCAGGAGTCTTCTGGAACTGGAATGAGAGGCCCCACAGATGAATGGCAGCCCCTGGGGGTAGCAGGAGTCTTCTGGGACTGGAATAACAGGCCCCACAGATGAATGACAGCCCCTGGTGGGAGCAGGAGTGGGACTGAGGCCTGTCTGTCATTCCAGGCCCAGGACACTCCTGCTACTCCCAACGTCTGTCATTCCACATTGGGGCCTGTCTTTCCACCCTCAGAACACTCCTGCTACCCCCAGGGACTGTCATTCCACTCTGGGGCCTATCATTCCTGGCAGCCATTTTGTAGTTGGTGCCACCTCCCATGACGACCGTATTGTGGTTGTGCCCACTTCTTTGTGTCTGAATTCCAGATGTGCCCACAGGCTCAGAAAGGCTGGGGATCCCCGTTCTAACCACTCCAGCACACCGACACGATCACAGTAACCACTGCACACAGTGGCTGTATACTGTCTGGGTTAAAATTAAAAAAACAAAATAAAAACCTTCCTTGGGTCTGGTGCAGCAGAAAGGACTCGACCACTCCGATATTGTCTGTCTTCTAGATCCATTCTCAGTAACAAAGTACTATCTGCATTTGTAGTTAAAAAATGAGTTTAGTGATTTCAGGTACTGTTATGTAATTTCAGGTGCTGTTGATTTCACTTCGGCGAAGATAATGAAAATGGGCCTTTAAAATGCTTACATTCCGTATTCCTATGCAGTATTGTTCTTTGCAGCATCGGACTTTCCTTTCACCGTCAGACACATCCACAGCTGAACGTCCTTTCGGCTTTGGCCCAGCCGCTTCACTCTTTCTGGGGTTACTTGTACTTGCCCTCTACTCTTCCCCAGTAGCATATTGGACACCTTCCGACCTGAGGGACTTATCTTTCAGCGTCATATCTTTTAGCCTTTTGTTACTGTCCATGGGGTTTTCTTGGCAAAGATACTGGAGTGGGTTGCCATTTCCTTCTCCAGGGGATCACGCTTGGTCTGAGTTCTCTGCTGTACCAAGGTAAAATTTACTCAGTACCAAGGTACAATTTGATCAGTACCAAGGTACAATTTACTTTGGAACCCAACTTCTCACTGAGGCTCAAGGTGGAATACTGAATCTAAAACAGTGACATCTGACTACATAAAATAAGGCACGGCCAGGCACATGACCAGGAGGAGCGCATTCCAAAAAGGTGAGGTGCCACCACAGAGAAAGCCCTGTCTCTAGTTGCCTCCTGCCTTGATTCTGCAGGTAGGGGCATTGACAGCAGGGTTTAGGATGAAGGTCTCATACTGGTGGGATGGATAGTACATGCGATGGTTCGGTTCCATAAACTACAGAAAACCATGTGACGAGCTCGTGATGCAGATGATGCCCGGTATACAAAACCGCTATACTGTGTCATACAGAAGGTATCCTGTCCATCTTCTCTTTTAGCTTCTGCCTTTCAAAGTGTCGGGGAGCTTTTGGGGAGGACCCCAAATGGTAGCCTTGAACCGTGCCCACAGCACGGACAGTGGGAACCCTGACAAGTCCATTGGGCGATACCCAATACCAAATATGAAATATTTGTCCTATGATATAGTGGAGCTCACGGAGGAAATGGAAGTAAAAATAAGAATGTTGTGTGTGTTGGTGGTTGTGGGGGGATGAGGTTTTTAACCATGCATTAAAAAAAGAGAAGAAATAGCCGTGGCCCAACCTGATTCTCCAGAATTGGCATGCTGTGTGGTAGGATATTCCCACGTGAAGTTCCAGTTGGTACCTATATGACGTACCTTTGACCAGAAATAGCAGTAGTGTTACCACCCGTGAAAAATACATTCAGATTAATAAAGGGGATTAGCTTGCATGTTTGTGTAAAGGTAAAGGAGAGACACAGCATTGCCATTTGGTACCCAAGTGCATAGAATTGTGTAGAATCATACCTTTAAGGTCTTTCATCCCCCCCCCCAAAAAAAACCAGACAGATTTATACAGAGTTTATTGAGGGATTTAGCACAATAGCTGGGGAAGGACTTATCTTAAGCAAATACTGTCAGTACCAAATCAAAGCACAGACGCATTCTTTATCCTAACCAATACAGCCAACAACCACCAAACATTAACCAGAGTTACTCCAAATTGGAGCAGGAGTTACTCTTTGAGCTAAAGGTGTACATGTGGTTTGGAAAATGGGGGGGGGGATACATCAAGAGGGAGAGTAAAGATTACCTGTCCTATTCTGCAAAAAAATCAGAGGGAAGGAGGAGGGATCCAGTGTGTGTGTGTGTGTTGGGAGTCTATTGTGGTTCCATTGGTATCCAGGATCAGACTCTAGTTACCTGCCTGCTACCAGGGCAATTCTACTGTTTTTGGCCCATAGCATAAAATATGTTCTTTTCAAGAAACAAAAGATTACGACAGAAGATAAAGGAATACTTGAGAGTTGGGCGTCTTGTCAGGAATTAATAATCATCGTATGGCATTGTGTGTAGAATAGCTAGGAGATCCTAAGATTGTGTGGCGGCTGCAAGTCCTAGCTCTTTAAGCGTTATGCAGCACTAGGTGGCAAGCTAGACTTGTTTTTATTAAGGCAAGGGATGTTTCAGAGGTGGCTTGCTATTGCCTGCCTCTGCATCCCGGACCTGGTATTCCTTGGAGGCCCCCCTTCCAAATACTAGCCAAGCCCGACCTTGCTTAGCTTCCAAGATCTGATGAGATTGGGCTATCCAAGTCAGGGGCTCATCAGAAGAAAACTATAGAACTGACTAAACAGCACCAGGGAAAGGCAACAAGAAGGGAAGCTCTTGATTGAATTATAATTCAGGATTACAAAACTGGAGACATGAAACTGAGTCATATATTCAATGGGATCCCTGGGGAGAATGAGAAGTTTCAATCAGAGCCTCCAGACTGTCACAGGGCACTTAACATTTGAATTGTATTAATGGTCAGTGATTGCACATCATGTAAAAGATAAATACAGGAGGAGGCGTCTTTGTCTTTTAGCCTGGTGTGGTTTAATTGCTGTCACCCTGTTGGCACTCCCTGATTTTTTCCAGAAAAACTTCCTTGGGGGCATTGGCTATGGTTGTTGTCCCAAGAGCCTCTGCTTTGTTCACTGCTGCAAGGTTCTCTGTGAGAGACCAAACATGGCCATTGCTCACTGTGTTCTTTGTGTGCCTTGTAGGACTTGCTCATGGTATTACATGCAGAGGACATACAGT